GGTCTGCTCATCCCAGTGTCAAGTGCGATCCATACGCATCATTGCGGAAAGTGCTGAGCTCAGCTATTAGAGTGATTTTGCAAGCGTGAATTTCATGAATGGAGCAAGTAGTCACATGTCGCATGCGCCCGTCGGATGAATTCCACCGAAAAAATGTACGATGGGACCCCCTCAATCCTGAACCGTTTTTCCGGGTCGCCACTCATTTTTTTACTTGCGCTGAGTATAGGCGAGGAGGCTCCACACACAACAAAGAAGGCGTTTCGCTTCACCGTGGCCTCGGGCGTGGATCTCCTCAAAGAAGTCATGTTTGTGAGCCCATACGATTGCCAGTACGGTCAGATCGCAAAGCGCTGGGAAGATGACGACCCCGAAGAAAGCGACAGCGCGGCAACGCCGTCCAAGAAGGTCAAGAAAGAAGGCCGCGGGGCGATCAAGGACGTGGCGTCTGTTGTCGTTGACTTTACTTCTATCATAGAGTCTTCCAACAAGCTCAAGCAAGACGAGATTTCTGCGAAGAAGGAGGAAACCGCAGTGGCCCAGCGCCGACTTGAGCTTGATGAGCAACGGTACCTGCTTGAAAAAGCAGAGCGCGAAGCACGGTGCCAGTTGGAGCGATCGGAGCGCGAGGTCCAGCTTGAATTCATGCGAAGCACCATCGAATTAACGAAGCACCATCGAATTGATGCGCTCTCTCGGAAACAAGATTAAGCCAACTCAATCAATTCTTGTTTGGCGGGATCTCCGTAGATAACGTATCGGGTGTCGCCTACACGTAGCTTGTTTTGGAGCTTTTCGACTAGCTTGCTCTGTGCTAGTAAGCACGGTGCCATCAAAGAAGCCGATGCAAGTTGTAAGGGGAGCCCCTTGAGCATGGATAGCGGCCGAACAGTGTTGCATCCAGTCGGCGTCAAGTCGAGCTTCGTCCCACTCGAGCAAGTGATGGAAGCAGTCGTACACGTGCATCATTACGTGGTTGCTGATCGCGGACAAGGCCTCGCGGCTGCGTCCAAACGTCTCGACCATGGAGCCAAGCCGATGCGGCAACGCGAGCCGGTTGAGCATGATACAGATCGCCTTCAACTGATCGGCTTTGTAGCGGTGCGTCGTGATGATTTCGTCGGGCAAACACAGCGAGCGCACGAGCTCGACGATCTGCTGCTTGGTAAATCGGAACTTGTACACGCAGTCCGTATCGGATTGCGCGCTAAAGTTGAAGCTGGTACTTGGTATGGTGATGGCCCGAGAGGCCACGACGAGGTATTGGGCGAGAATTGCGACGAGAGGGAGTGCGAGCAGGACGTCGTCCATGTGCCTGCGGTCCAAAGCGTAAAACTGATGCAGGTTTGCAAAAACAATCGACGCGCGACTTTTACCCTTTGAATTTTCCAGAATTTCGAGCGCCGAACAATCATGAATTCCACGCTTGCAAAATCACTCTATTATAGCAAAACCAAACAGCAAAGTAACCTGTGGTGGCCACCTCTGACTTGAGCAAGCACTCTCGTACCGCGACGTCTCACCCTCTGCAAAAATCATTTGGACCTCAGTTGAAGTTGCGTTGGCGCCAGTTGGCACCATGAAACCCATTTGACGTGAAATGGTGAATTTTTGTATATAGTGTACATTATATTACACTAAATGCGATATCTCATCCTTCATCCACATCCACCACGTATATAGTATGCAAACGGGGGATCGGGATTGGCCACGGTGATTGGCAACCGAGGCGCCCAATTCGCTCGTTCCAGTACAGTCGACGCGACACCGCCAAAGCACCCAGCCCAGAAGCCCATTGTGTGTGTGGAGCGTCCCAGCTTCAGATACTCGCAATACAGTGTAATATAGCCCGCACACTCAGTTTTTGAAAGAGTAGGAATGCTGCGGCATCGCGACACCATCTGCCCCGAAGCAGAATGCAGCCGTGATGCCCATCATACTCGTCTGGGATAAATGAATGTACTATATAAGATAATTCCCCTGCCTTGCCTTCCTTATCCGGAAAAGGCAACCGTTTTGACCAATCAGATCAAGATTTGGGTGGGCTATCACCTGATCGGGCACGCGACAAGCCGGGATCAACGCGGGCCTTTCTACTATCGACCAGTCGATTGGAGCCCGCCACTTCTCGACATCCGTCGTCCTGCGCAGTCGCTATCATGAGTATGCGCTGGTTGTTGTCCGCGCTCGCTGCTGTCGCCGCCATGGACCCGTCGGCTAACCCGAACTGCTACCTCGTGCCAATCCTCGTGATCGCGCCGCACACGCCTCTTCCGGCCATGAACTGCGCGACCAAGCCATTCCCGGCGGGCGACTGCATGAAGGAGGTCGTGCGTGCGACATTGACGACGGTGGACTCGATCAAGACCCACGGGACAGAATGGAACTGCCTCGGCGACGCCGACCATCTCGAGTACGCGTCCAGCGTCCACTACCGCGGCGATTCGACGCTGCGTCTCATTAAGCACCAGATGGCCATCAAGCTCGACACGCCGCAGTCGTTCTTGGGCCTCCCCGCCGACACGCCGTGGTCGCTCCATGGCCCGTACTTCGACGCGAGCTTGCTTCGCAACCACGTCGCCCACCACATCTTTCGGCAAACGGGGCGCTACTCGCCCCGCACGCAGCACATTGCCCTTTACATCAAGAACGCCGCGGGCGTTCCCGAATACAAGGGTTTCTACCTCCTCCTCGAGACTGTGAGGTACGCGCGCCCTCTATCGATATGCCATGGTCTCACAATGGTGTAGCTATGGCCCGAACCGTGTCGGTCTTGCTGAGAACTCTCCCAACTGCTCGGCCTCGGAGCGTGCGAACGGAGGTTGGGCGTGGCTCTTTGACCCGCTCTCGTACGGCGCGTACTCGCCCAATATTGTCAAGAACATGTACACGAACCAGTTTGGCGGCGGCCGCCCGCTCCTGACGTACCCCGCTGGCGAGACGACGTCGCAGGCGATGCGCGATGCTTTCGTATCTCCCAACGGCTTCCTGCCCCAGTACCACAAGTACCTCTGGGAAGGCATGCTCACGCCCGATCGCCTCGAGGAGCACATTGACATTGGCTCGTTCGTCGATTACATGCTCCACACGGAGTGGAGCCTGAACCAAGACGCATACTCGCGCAGCATGTACTACTTCAAGGATCGCGACCATCCGATCGAGGCAGGCCCGGTCTGGGACTTCAACCTCGCCTTCGGCGCCGGCGCCAAGGCTCATGCGCAAAACTGGCTCTTCCAGACGCATGAAGCGTGGAAGCGGCTTACGTGCAACTACAAGTTCACTTCGCTTCTCATTGCCCGCGTACGTACATTTTTGGATCGTGGAGATTGAGAACTAACTGGCATTTATGGTAGTGGAAGGCCCTCCGTGCCGGTGTCTGGGCTGACGGCAAAATCGAGGCGTTTGTGACGAATGCCCGCGCTCCCTTTGACAAGATGCTCACCAAGTGCCCCAACAACCAGTGGATGTCCAGCCAACCGTCGTGCGCCCACGTTGCCCTGAGCACGCGCGGCTCGTACGCTGATCAAGTCAACGCTATGGTCGCCTCGACGCTTAGCCGCGCGCGCTGGATGGACGCCCAAATCGAAAAGCTGTACCAGCCGCTGAACGCCCGCGTCTGCATGGGCGTCGGCCGCATTCCCAAGTTCAACTGCGGCCCCGATGGCAATGACCCCGGCTGCCTGAGCAACCCCAAACCGTACTACGAAAACGTCAAGTTCCCGGCCATTCGAGGTGTGAACCACGCGAAGTGCGACGGTGAAGCGCCCAACGCCGCGCCCCATGTCCCGTCTGTGGATCCGTGCTGGGTCGCCGTTGGCAGTTACCGTGGTATGTGGTGGCTTACGCCGACGTGCAGTGGCTTTGGCTGGTGTGCGCAGGGCCCTGGTGCCAAGTGCCAGTGCACGGCCGGCCGCAAGACGTTCGATTGCTCGCCCAATCCACCGGCGCACTTGATTGCGATCACCGCGTCGTCGGAGGACGCAGCCGCGATGAGCAACCCGCTTGTGTGGGCTGGCGCCGCCGCCGCGCTTTCCGCCGTTGCCGTAATTCTTGTCATCAAGCGCAAGCGAAACCCGGGTTACGAAACCTTGTAAACACAAAATTAAGACGTGTTTTTTACTTCCAATTTACCGTCAAATGTATATATATATGAACGTGTTTCGCGTTATCTGCATTACAAAGACTTCGCATACGTAGAGAATACACTGTAGCAATCTTCTTCATTAGTTCGCCGGGCCGTGGCTGCGCAGGCGGCGGCGCGGAGCCTCGTCTAGCCTTCTGTAGTCGCCCTACGACGCTTGGGGCCGTGGGTGAGGTCTTTCCAGGCGTTGCGGTCGGCGGCAAAGCTACGCAGTTTGTCAAGGTCCTCGAGAGACGCCAGCGACTGAGGCGGCGTCAGCGATTGGAGGTCGCGGTACAGGACGACCGGCAGCGTGATCTTGGTGCGCACTAAGAAATGGGGTCAAATGGTTAAAAAATTGTGCTAGTACAGATTAACCCGTTCGGACGTGCAGAAAATGATGGACGTACGCAACAGCGAAACCTCGAGAAAAGGTGGACGAAAAACTTCAGGCAATGTACGTATTACCGGTAGTACATTTGTACATATTACCGGTAGTACATTTGTACATGTCCAGACAGCCCTGGCATTCCATGTGCCATGTTATCTATAGCTTAGTTCGGTAGTACATTTGTACATGTCCAGACAGCCCTGGCATTCCATGTGCCATGTTATCTATAGCTTAGTTGAAACAGAACGCCGATATCCGTGCCTTCTCGCGTTCACTTTAAGCCGATAGAGGCTCTGTTATGATTAGCGTGAACTAAAGTCATTGAGCTGCCGATCAACTATTGGTCTGCACTTGAATCAACGGAGTGTACACACAGTCATTGGGACCATCCAAGGGTCCGAGAATGGGATTGATCGATCGTCCATCCATCCATCGTACTGCATTCGTTATTACAACATATATATACACGCTAGAAATACCGCCGTCGTCTGGCTTCGTTTGCAAGGGAGCCACAGTGACAACAAGGGATCTTAGCAGTCAGCCTAGGCACAAAAACATGGTGAGCTCCTTGGTTTCATTCCGAAAAAATGAAAGTACCACACGACGGCGTTTGGGCTTCTTGATGTCGTCGCTCATGATGTTCTTGAGGCGCAGCATACTCGCCGACGCAACGGGTGTCGTTGCGGGGCTGGTTGTGTCACCATCGACCTGCGTCGGCGCCGTGTTTTCATCGTCATCGTTCAAAATTAGCTGCATCGCCGAGCTCCGGCGCTGGAGCGGTGGGTGCGCGATCGACTTGGGCGACGGGTCTTGTGGTATAAGTGCAGGAACAACCATCGATACGTCGATCGGCGTCACATCCGCGACTGTTTTCGCTTCGACAATGATGCGGCGGTTCGTGCGCGACGTTCGCGTCTCGTTGTTGCGCCGGTAGGAGAGCAAAGTGAAAGCCGGTGACTGCACTGACGCAATCACACGCAAGTCCTGCGTGAACGCGCTGTCGTCGCCCGGTAGCCGCATAAACATATAGCCCTACGTCCAAACGTTAAGGGCATCAAAGTTGGAAGCGAGACGTACACGCCACACATGGCGCGTGCTGCGGCTTTCCTTGCTAGCGCTAGCGGTCCAGTGGTACGGCCAGCCGACCTTGAAGCCGTCGTTGAAATTGAAGACGAGCGACGTCTAGACTTTTGGTCGTAAATCAAGGTGCACGAATGGGCATCGGAATGAGATACGCACGGGGTAGTATGTGGACGGCGGAAGGAGGACACCAGGGACCCACTCACCGCCACTCTCGTGCTCGGCCGTGAGACTGGCGTGCGACCGAACATCACCCATTTTGAGCTCCGGCTCATTGAGGCGTTCGACGCGCGCAAAGGCTACGAACGAGTACGCGGGCACTTTGTTGAGCTGGGGCCCTGCGAGAGCAAACGAGATTTTCCCGCCACAACTGCAGTGCACGAGGTGTCCAGGACAGCAGTGTGGGAAACAGCGCAGCTCCTACAAAGTATCAAGTAGCACTTTGCACGTTGGGAAGCGGATAACGGTACTTTGCGCCCTTCCGTCTTGTTGCAGCTACGAGATGAGTATGAATCGACGGCAGATATGCCACGACGCACCGAATGTACGTGTCCTTGAATGTCGTCTCACTCGCGCAAGCACATTTTATAAACTCAAGACGGTAACCGTCGTCAATCGAGTCATATTGGATCGTGGCTAGAAAAAAGACAGATTGTGAGCCACAGGTCGCCGAATTTTCCCGAAGAAGTCGTACTGCCGTCATTGGGGTCCCCAAGATCGCTGCTGCTTAAAGCGCGACGGTACGATGAGAGCGTGAAGGGCGTCGACTGAGCGACGCCGATGACGCGCAGCACCTTTTGTGGCTCGTACTGGTAGACCATGAAGAGGTAGGCCTTGAAAACGTGCTTGGTGTTGCGTAGGACCTTGCTCGCCCCGCCTTTCCATGCGTACTGCCATTGATCCTCGTGTGGCGATGGGTTAATCCGGTACACGAGCGTCCCGCAGTCCTCCTACGCAACGTTTCTCAGCGGCAACGTGGCCAGCGAGTCGTACTTCAGTGCTGCTCTTCTTGTATTGAAGCTTTCCTGGAAGCCATTCGCATGCATCTTCGCTGTCCTTGACGCGGCTGAAGCGCGCGAGGTCGGCGGCTGACACAAGTTCGCCAACGTCGAGGGCGCCCTCGAGACATCGTTCGAAACGACAGTACGACTCGAATGCCATGGACTCAAAGCGCGAGAAGTTGCCGCCAACCTGCATCGCAAGCGACGTGCCGCAGGCATTGATGGTCAAGTGTGTCGGACAACAGTGTGGAAAGCACCTAAGAGGGTTTCTATTTTGACTGGTTGCAAACAAGTACTATTGGAACCTACCGAATGGCCTGTGTGCGGAGCAGAGGAGGTGAACCGTGAGATTTGGCGAAAAAATGGAGAGTTGCGAGGTTAGATTGATACCTTTTGGCCGTTGGGTTTGTTGGTCCTACACTGAGGTAAGCCAACGGAAGTCGGCTGGAGGCGCGTACCGGATGTAGCTGTCGTGGAAGAGAGGGCCCTCGCACTGCGTGCACGCGGCGAACGTGCAGAACACGCGGTCTTCGATCGGCTTGGGCGCCTCGAACTCCGCCATCGATCAAGAGTGTCCACAATCAATTGCAAACTCCTCCCACTAAAATCAGACCAGCTGCGACCTGTAGCAATTGATATTTGCATTTTGACAGATAATATCGAGTATAAGGGGGATGGCACGCCACAGGGTCATACAAACCCCAAGTGCAGGACGTCGATGGGCTGTGAATTTCGTTGGCGGCTGCTGCCAGCTGGTGCCATGGTCCGATGGGTGTTAAGACGACAGCGAAGACACCGCCTGCGCATGTTCTTCGCCTTGGTTCCTGCAGCATCGAGTTATCCATGCGATACAGCCCCAGTCTTGTGTAGAGGGCACGGTAATAAGATAGTTAGGAGAGTGCTTGATGCTTGAAGCTCAAGTGAATATCCTGACGGATTTGCCAGAGAGTGAGCGAGCGATATTAGTACATGGTACAATGGGAGGAAGCGGGCGATGCGCACCAGTGGTCACACAAGCAACTCGTTGAACGCAAGCGAAGTGCGCATCTGCACGCAAATTCCAACTTGTGCTCACGCCCAAGCTGATTGGGCCGGCGCCAACTGATATGAGGTCGCGCTGTTTATCTTGCAAATTGTATGAATTCTACGTATTCGTGTCGCGTGTCAACCTGTCTCTTCAAAGAATTGACAGCGATCGGGAGGTTATTGCAATGCACCCGCGCTGAGAACGGCAAGAGCCGTCACGTGCGCCAGGGTACATCCCGCTTGTATACGTCTCGGACTTCATTCAATGCATTCACACAGCTACATGCCTACAGCTTATGCCAGCGGGGTCGAGCTCGACAACACTGCGCAACGATATTTTATTTTATTGGCACAGCAACCTGCCTATCCTGTCCAACTATGGCTGCCATAGCCTGGTCGGCGAGACTGGGGATTTGTATGGTGGCGAGCTTGGCGAGACTTGGCGCCTGTTCCGCGAACTGCCCCGCACGGCTTCTTCAACAGCAAGCCACAGTCGACTGGACTGCTCAGCAATTAATTACTTGCACCCACTTACATCGGATTCGATTGCATAGCAGAACCAATATAATAAAAATAAGGGCGAGTGGGAGCACTCGATGAACGTCAGCACGGATCCTCTTCCCGCAGAGCGTCGGCATGGTCGCACGTGTGTGTCATCGCGCTCTCTCGCGCACGATCAATCAGGCGAACAAAGAACGAACGAACGATGGACTGTCGAAGAAAGGTAACTCGGAAATGGATAGAACGTTTTATCACTTCCTGGGTGACAAACGAGTGAATGCCATGCGTTGGTCCGAGGCAGATATGGAACTGTACTGGTAATGGCGAAATTGCACCGATGAGCTGCCGAGTATGTCCAGCAGTGTTGTAAGGTGCGTTTGGCGTCTTGTCGTCCCCCAAATGGAATATCGTCATTGAAGGAGTACAGTATTGGCCGAAGAAATACCGTACCTAAGGTGCTGAGTTCAAATCCGCGCGCCCGCTCCTGCATAGCAATCTTTGATCGAGATATTTAAAATTTTGAGATTTGAAAAAATGGGTGTACAGTACAGTACCGCTATAGATTCCAGGTGAAATGAGCTGTACCTATACCAGGGTATTTCGAAAAATTGATCAAGCAACGGAAGTCATCATCGTCCGAGCAGTGGTGCATGGACAAGTTCGCTTCACACGCAGCATCAGGCGCAATATGTGCATTGATTGGTCTAAAACATATGACACCACACATGCGATTGGTCCACGCCATCAGTTTTGAGAAATTGCACGCTTGTCCAAGGACTGCTCGACGATATTTGGACAAATTGGCCAGAGAAAAGGATTTTACCTAATTCAAGGACAAATATAGGATTGGTGCCGATCGATTAATTCGTCGCTGACGGCCGAGCAGATTGGGGCAACGATGTATTGGTGCCACAGGGAGCCCCGCCTGCCCAGTGGTGGGCGAGGTGGATCAGCAAATTTGCTGCGGGCTGCCAAATGCAGAATGCGCTTGAGCAGGACAGCTCTACACCATGGCTTGTTGCCGCTTGGACTTATGTTCTTCTAATCGTCTGTTGTTCCTGTCTGCTCATCCTTCGCGCGGAACACCTCGTCTTCTTGAAAATGTTCCAACCAAAACGCGCCCAAACGCGTTGCAAATATAATTTCAACTATTAATACACCGGTCTAATCAATTAATAGCATGTATTCATACTAGTAGTCGGTCTTCTCTTTGATCAAGATCGCGAAACGAGCGCGTCAGGCTGAGCGCGTCGTCAAGAACCTCACTCACACGGGGCCGCAAGTGTCCCCAGGCGAGTATATATGAGCAAGACAAGAGCGAGCGAAGGAGGTTGCTCGTGTTTACGCATGCTAAGTCTTGAGTATTACTTTACAGTTAGGATTAATAACACGAGTAACGTTGCCAGTAGTATTTCTGTTCGATACAACGCAAGTGCTGAGACTATAAGGGTACTAGTATGCATAGATGCACTGTAGTACTTGTATATGTTTATAATCAATTCGTGCACCCAGTTGCAGAAATTGACGCATTGTTCATGCATAAGTATTCATTACTAAATAAGTAGTGGGCATCATTATGTGTTGATATAAAAGTGTTGCAGTGTTTCTAGATCGCTGCGGCTCCAGGCGGATGGATGGCTTATGCGACGACTTCGTCGGCAACAACCCGCATGGCGTGAATGCCGGAGCTGAGCCCGATGATGTTGGACTCGTCAATGCGGAGCACAGTCCCGCCGTATTTGCCGTCAATGGCCCAGGTGTTCACCTGCACGTACTTGCCGTCGTCGTACTGCGGGAGCAGCGCAATCTCTTGATACACAATTGTGTCTTGGTCCCATTTGCCGGCCGTCGCGCTAATGAGCTGGTGCTCGGCGTCATAAATAGAGACGTTCGCACCCGTGCGGCCCATCACGGGCTTGGCTACGTAGCCTCCGACATACGTCGCCACAGCAGCTTCATCAAAAGACGCGCGGAGGAGGTACGGGTTCTCGGGTGCCAGCTGCGAGAGGATTGGGAGAATCGCCTTGGAGCTCGGAAGTACGGTCCAGAGCGGCTCAAAGACGCGGACGTCGTCGTGCAGCATGACGTCCATGACCTGCACGCGCTTCTGCGGTGCTTCAAGCGAAGCCTCAAACTGGGAGATGACGGTCTGCCACGCCCACGTCTTCCAGACGTTGCGGATTTCACGGCCGTTGACGTCAGCGATGGCGCCGTTGGACCACGAGAGGCTGTCTACGCCGACCACAAGGACGCAGTCGATACCGGCGGCTTGCGCAGCTGACATCATGTACATCGAGTGGTACCGCTCTTCGTGGTCGTCGTCGCAAAGCAAGTGGAGAATGCCGTCCACGTTTTTGCCCTTCCAAGCGTCGACGAGCTGGGAGAACAGCGTGGTGCTCGAGCTGCGACCGATTGAGTCGACGCCTGCGGCACGCGACCACTCATCCTGCGTATGGCCGCATTCAAAGAGACACGACGCCGAGTCAGCGTTGTACTCGTACACTTTGATACCGTCTTCTGTCAAGGCAAAGTCGAAGCGCCCGGACACGGTGTCGCGCTTGCTATACATACAGCGCATGAGACCATGGGCGCAAGTCGAGTCGATTTGTACTTTTCGCGGAACGAGCGCTGGATCTTAGGCCAGAGCGCCGAGGGGATGTGGAAGAAGGGTGCCATCTCGGCTTCATGCGCCAGTACATACGCAGTGGCATCGAAAAAGAGCTCGTGAAGCGAAGCCGTTGCCACTTCAATACCCGCTTGGCCCGACTCGCTGAGCGTGTAATAGCTCGATGTCTCGTTAGCCGTCAAGTGCGTACCGTACTGCTCCTGGAACACGGGCACGTACGGCTTGGAGGCGTCAAGCCACGGCGAGCTGGCGCCAGACGGCGGGATCTGCACTGTGCGTACGGCGAGATCGTGCTTGTAGCTGTTGGGCAGCTTAGCGACGGTCTTGGCCTTCGCGGGCGTCGTCACGGGCGTTGGTATTACAACCATCTTCAAGTAGTTGCGGCTGCGGAGGAGGGCTCGGATGGTGCTATTGCGACTTGGCAAATGCCACTCCCGCCGCCCTCGGGCAGCAAAACGAGGACCGAATTCGTACAGGTTCGAGTGGCCGTACGTACAACGCCGTGTGTCCATCCTGGTTCCGATAAGATATCCAATACACTTTGTACATGTACTGGCTGCTGTACGGCTTTGTACGTCGGTTACTTGAAAAATGTATGCTTCGACCGTGCCCTTTCTACTTTCGTCTGTTGGACGGAGTGTACACCCCAATGTACGAACGTACAATGGCTTTATTAATTACGATAAAATAAAGCGTACATTGAATGTATGATGCCTGTATTTCTGCTATGCTTTTGTTGTTCGATCCATTGATAAGCTTGGTATTTGTATGCGAAGTCATCGGGAGAGTGTTCTTTGCGACCCAAATCGTAGTTCGAAGAAAATTGACCCGCGAAAGCCCATCTGCCAAAGCTCAGTCTGGAGAGCGATGGCATCGTCTTCACGACAGGTACAACTTGTAGCATTCTAGTACCGATTTCTTTGGTGCGACTGCAAGCCATGAGGGTATAGTGCGCATGTAAAGAGAACATGTATGCAAATTTGAAATTTGAGTCTCGCTGCGAAGAGATTCCACAGCGAGCTCTCAGTCCAGTACTACTCATTGATGTTTTGCGTTAGAGTATATACCACACGACAATATAGCTGTGCTTCGAAGACCGACGATAAAGTGCATGCGCAAGGCCAGGGTGTGACGTCGAGTGCAAACCATTTTTTGCTTCAGTTAGTGGTTTTATGGATCCGGGTATTAGTTGTTCGGATAACTTATTTGTATCCGGATGGCCCAGTCTTGGTTTGTTGATTGTGTGGCAGCGCGGCAAGGAAGGACGCGGACCAGGTAGCCATGCACCTCATGAACCTTACGCTCCAGGAGGGCGGCGCAATCACGCACGCCGTCTACGGCAACTTCTGTGGGACGAAGAGCCAAGACATCGTATGCAGCGGCGGCTCGTCGCTTCGGCTGTTGCAGACGCAGGCGGCAACGGACCCGGCGACCATCAAGCAGCTCACGACGGTGCACAGTGTCGACGTCTTTGGTGTCATTCGGTCAATCCTGCCCTTTCGCCTCACGGGCGGTACGAAGGACTACCTCGTCGTGGGAACGGACTCGGGCAAGATCACGGTGCTCGAGTTCATGGTCGAGTCTTCGTCGTGGGAGGTGCGCCACTCGGAAACTTTTGGAAAGACGGGCTGCCGCCGCATCACACCCGGTCAGTACCTCGCAGCAGACCCCAAGGGACGCGCTATCATGATCGGCTCGGTAAGCAACATGATCTTTGCAGGGGTCGAGGCCAACACCGCGATTGTAGATCGAGAAGCAAAAGCTCGTGTACATCATGAATCGCGACGCGTCCAACCGCCTCACCATCTCGAGCCCGCTTGAGGCTCACCGCTCGCACGCGATCCACTTTGACATGATCGGCGTCGACGTGGGCTTCGAGAACCCGATCTTCGCGACGCTCG